TTTTTATACCTGTTTCATCATTCCCTGTAATAAAATGTCATCGACATATATGATGAGAGCAATAAACGTTTTACCTTTGTTCCAAGTTAATAATGCATAGTCATGTTTGGACTGAACAAATCCTACGCCAGTTAAAGCTTTACTGAATTTCTCATTCCATTGTCGAGATGCTTGTTTTAGCCCATAGAGGGATTTCTGCAGACGACATACTATGTTCTCCCTCTGTCTACACAATCCTGACGGAAGGTCCATGTATATTTCTTCATGAAGATCCCCATGAAGAAAGACATTATGAACGTCCATTTGATGAAGAGGCCAATCACAAATAGAAGCTACTGTAAGAAAAGTACAAATGGTGACATGTTTGGCTATGGGGGAAAAAGTGTCCTGATAATCAAAACCTACCCGCTGAGTGTATCCTTTGGCCACTAATCGAGCTTTGTACCGTTCTATGGAACCATCAACACAATGCTTGATTTTGTAGACCCATTTACAGCCAATAGGTTTTCTATGAGAGGGGCGAGGCACGAGATCCCAAGTATGATTCTAAGAGAGAGCAATAAGCTCAACAGCCATGGCTTGACGCTAATGAGAGTGTTGAACAGCCTCTGAGTAACTAGTGGGTTCTCTTTCTACGGAGATGTTACTGATGCAAACTCTATATATAGGAGAGAGACGATTATAAGTCACATAATTTGAGGTAGGATACAGTGGAGTTGAAGGATCTGAAATGGTGGGACACTCATAATCTGCTGCCCAGATTGGTGGTTTGGTCTAACGAGTGCTGCAACAGGCAGGAACATTAGGAGCCTGAACAGGGGATCTGGGTGGAGGAATAAGGACTTGATCCGGTGAATCTGCTGTATTGTTATCAGTGTTGGTTGTGTCAAAGTGAATAGTAGGAGTGCTAGGCTAAGGAACTGGTGGATTAGGAACCATAGTGAACAGAGGATCTTGACGAGTATCATTGTTAGGGAACACTTGGGGTGATGGTGATGATGATGGAACAATGTCTTTTGTGGCAAATAGAAAAATGTCTTCATGAAATACAACATCTCGGGAGATCAAAAACTTGTTTGTAACTGGATCATATAGCCTGTATCCTTTCTGAAGCATAGGATATCCAATAAAAACACAACGAGTAGCCCGAGTACCAAACTCATCATGTGATCCAAGAGTGGCAGCATAACAAAGACAGCCAAAGACTAAAAGATGATCAAAAGATGGTTGTTTCTTGAATAATATCTAATAAGGGGTCTTTCCATGGAGGACTCTACTGGGCATGCGGTTGATCAGGTAAGTAGCAGTGATCACACATTCGCCCTAAAAATTGATAGGTAGGTGGGCTTAGTGTTTAAGGGCATAGGCTACTTCTAGGAAATGACAGTGTTTTCGTTCGACAACCCCATTTTGTTGTGGAGTATAGGTGCAAGAACTTTCATGCGGTATCCCGAGGGATGAAAAAAGGGAAGAACAATTATGATTAAAGAATTCTCTAGCATTGTCTGTTCTAATCCTTTGGACAAAAGTATGAAATTGTGTGTTGACTATGGCTAGAAAATGTGTGATGTGGGTAAGTGTTTGAGCTTTAGATTGCATGAGAAAAATCCATGTACCCTGGGAAAAGTCAACAATGGTGAGAAAAAATCGGGATCCATCATGATTTTGAGTATGATAAGGTCCCCAAATATCAAGATGGATTAGGGCAAAAGGTTGTGTCGTAGTGAAAGTGCTATGTGGAAAAGTAATTCGGGCTTGTTTAGCTAACGGACAGATGGGACAATGACGTTGGGGAATAGTAGCACTGTGACCTAATCTTTGATGGAGAATAAAAGAATTTTTATTAATTGTTGCATTACAATTGGTAATTTTATTGGTTGTAATACAAGGATGAAAAACTCTAGAAGACTTAGTCGGTGCCCAGTAGTATAGACCTCTGTGAACCTTACCCAAGCCCATCAGTCTCCCAATCGAAGGGTCCTGAAATTCACATGTGTTAGGACAAAATTTTACAGTGCAAGTATTGTCTTCACATAGTTTGGATACTAATATGAGGTTAAAATGAAAAGTAGGGACACATAGGACATTTTCAAGGAATAAATTTTCAGATAATTGGACAGTTCCTATGTGAGTGGTCGGGGTTATGTTTCCGTTCGGTATGCGAATAGAGGTGGATGAGGTAGTGCAAATAGAGTTGAAAAATTTTGGATTACAAATTATGTGATCACTAGCCCTTGAATCAATAATCCACATGTTAGTAGTAATTAAATTGAAGCAGTAAGAAGTACCTACATAGGATGCTGTAGGTGCGGTGGGAGCATTATTCAGAAGCTGAAGCAATTGATTATATTGATACGAAGTGAGAACGGGTGCTTGCGAATTACTAGAAGAAACTGAATCAACCTGAAAAGAAAAAGAACTGTTATTTTTGTCTTTAGGACAACCATGTAATTTCCAGCAATGGTCTCGATCATGATTTGTTCTTTTGCAATATTCACAATATAATCGCCCCCGATTAGATCGTGAATTGTCAGATCCATTGGACTCGTTTCTGGATCCATTTAACCAAGACTTGGGCCCAGTTGACCAGTTGGTTAACCTGTTTGACTCGGATTGTGATGTGGCTTGATTTGAGCCGTTAGATGCGTTTAAAAACGCAATCAGCTTCTGGCCGTCAGATCACGAGATGAAATCTAGGCCTTTCATCTCTGCATATAAATTCATGCCCTTTTCTTTTGCAAGTTACCCTAGCCACGAGCGCATATCTTCGTTTTCCTTGAGTCCTGCAAAAACCACAGAGTCAGTGGATGGCCGATCGGAGTGCAACTGGCGTTGGCTCTCATCCTACACCGCCAGTTGAAAACTCCGGCGAAAGGAAGGTGGTGGAGATGTGGCCATAACTTGGGTGCGAAAAGCATAAAAGCTTTCGTTCAACCAGAGCAAAAAGTGCGACAGGCGATCGTGATCGCAGACCCGTTGGTACTAGTGGAGAATCTCCGGTGGCCCTTCAAGAGCTTCCTCAGCAGCGTCCAACTCGTTCCAAACGACAAAGAGCTGATTGAAATAAGTGGTCACCAAAGCGTTTCCTTGTTTGAGTTCGATCAATCGCTGTCGGAGCGTGTACGTTTTAGTGAGATCGAGTTTCCCATACATCTCTTTGATGTATGCCCATTTATCGGCGACCATCTCTATTGGTGGGAGTCTGGCCGATACATCTGTAGAGATGCAATTATTGATCCATGAGCGGACCAGTGTGTTGCAGCAGTTCCAGTGGCGTTGGAGGTGTGGCTGTGGTGGTGGTTGGAAGTTTTTGTCGAGGAAGAGCTCTTTGTCTTTTGCAATGAGAGCTTGCCGGAAATCGCGAGCCCAAGATGCATAATTGTCTGAACCCATAAGGGTTTGTTTGATGAGGACCAATTCTGGTCAGTCGGAAACCGGCGAAAACAGAACGGTGCCTGGTTCAGGGCGACTATTGCTGGTGGCTGGGATGAAGCGAAATGGGTACGGGTAGGGATTTGGATCCGTGCCTGTTTGAGAACCAGATTCCTAGTTATGACTCGGTATTCCAAGAGGAGTTGGGTTGGTGCGGGTAAAAGAATCCGGGTCATAACCCGGCATTCCATATGGGTAACGGACTAGGTCAGGCCTGGTTTGTGTGTTTGGGTCGATTGGGATTGAACTAGTTGGGATTGAGTCTGGGCCGGTTGAAGTTGGATTTGCATTTGTTTGGTTTGCTGCATTTGATTGAGTTTGAGTTGGGTTTGGATTATCTGCCATTTGCAGAAAAATAAAATACTAAAACGAGTTTTCTGTTTGATTTCAGGGACAGAAAAGAGATGCTTGTTTGTGCGGAAGCGTGAAGATTATGGCTCTGACACCATGTAAGGAATTGATATGAAGAGTCAAAGAGTGGCAGTTCAGGATGTTGATACTGCCAAAGTATGCTTAGAGAAGAGAAAAAGGGAAAAGATTTCTGTATATTTCATTATTGTATAAAACTGTATAATGCTAATTTATACACTTTTTGTAATTGTAAAAATGGAAAACAATGAATACAATTAAATGTAATTATTCAATCAATCACATAAATTATGGATTGATTGAATGAGAGAATTGCTCCTTGATCACAACCAGCATGAATCAAGGAATTTGTGCATTCCATATTTCGTCACTTACTCATTAATTTGTTCTACTTAAGCATTAATTATTTGGACTTGAGCATTATCCATTTCTTTTGTTTTCCGTATTAATAAAAAAGTGGATGGATAGATGAATAAACATTACACGTTTTTTAAACATAATGTAGATTCTTAACAGTGGAATCCTACATTAATTAAAATAAATAAATAAATAACATGCGGTATTAATAAGATAATATGTCTTAACTTTTATCAAAATGTCATTACGAAGAATATCTCCCATTGGCTATTGTTACAAGAGTCCTTACCTAACTCTAATTTGTTCGACGAAGAGGAATTCCTTAATCTTACATCCTAATGCCTAGTATAAAAGAAGTATACATTTAGATGAAGAACACTCTTATTTTCGATTATTTATTGTTGGGTTTAATTATCTAATTGTTCCACATTGAAAAATATATAAATGTGAAGTAGTATAGTGTATACCGTATTAAAAGTAGCTCATTTATTAAGAAATGGACTGAAAGGATGATATTGTTCCCATTTTGTTCATTTGTTATAGTACTGGGTACAAATTATTAAATTGAGAAAACGGTTTTCTATATATTGGAAAGTTAGGTGTAACTAACGTTACCATTCAAAGCCTAGTGAGTAGTTTTGAATGGCAAGAGCTACCTACTGAGGGGCGCCGCCCCGAGACTGTCCAAAATCCAAATTATATCTCTTTCGCAATTAATTGGCTCTTTTTCTACTTCTCATTAGATGACAAATTGAAACCGATTGAATGAGATTGGTATGAATGAGAGTGATTTTAATTTAATTTAATTAATTGAGAATTATAAGAGATGAGTGGTATTTAAGTAGTATCTTTAATTCAGCCATTCTATGAGCTTTCTGATAAACATGACAACGCATGTAATTCTTCTTCTTCTTCTGCTTCTGGTTGTCACTGACCTGGTAGCTTCAGACTCATACTCAATCATTAAAACACTGCCAGGCTTTCCTGGTAATCTTCCATTCAAACTCGAAACTGGGTGAGTTATAATTTCTTTATATTTTTCATTATTAATCTGATATGATGAATATGCAAAGAACTTACTCGTGTTTTGAATTGAAAGTTATATTGGAGTGGGCGATTGGGATAACGAGCAGTTATTCTATTACTTCATTGAATCCGAAAGGAGTCCTGAAGATGACCCTCTTTTGCTTTGGCTCACCGGAGGCCCTGGTTGTTCTGGCTTTTCTGGCCTTGTCTATGAAATTGGTATTTAATTTTTCTTATAGTCGCGTCATTTATTATATGGTTGACTCTTTAAACATATTGCAAAGCGATTTCCTTATTGGAATTGGAAATTTGGCTTTTCTTATTTAAAAATTTTTCATTCTAGGTCCATTGTCGTTTGACTACAAAAAATCCGGGGAGAACTTACCAACATTTGTGTTGAATCCATATTCGTGGACAAAGGTGGATGATTAATTAATTCGCTTCTACCTCTATATATTTTTATTAAATTGATAAATAAAACTCTTTTGATCATCGATCTTATTGTATATATTCAGGTTGCCAACATAATATTTTTAGATGCACCCGTTGGCACTGGATTCTCATATGCCAAAAGTTGGCAAGGATATAACATGACCGATACACTTTCAGCAGCATTAACCTATTCTTTTCTAAGAAAGGTGAGCTAAATTTGTTATATATATCTGATTAATAATAGCATATCAAAATTGAAAATTAAATATAGGGTCAGGATTGACTTTCAGTGTATCGAAACATAGAAAAAGTTTTTAAATTCAAAGAATAATCAATATTAATTTCATTGATTTTATATTTGAAACTACTTTTGTAGAACAACTTTCAATGGTTAGAATATCGATTGCTGAGAATAGTTTATATTCTTTTCAAGTTCTTTATGCATTTTTCTTTTTAAGAATAGATTAATTACAAATGAATTTCAAATTTATATTTTTCTAATTAAAATCTTATTAATCAAGTAAAAATTCTTATTTGGTTTTTACATTCTAAACTCTAATTGATGTTATCTAGTTGTCTTAAATAATCGTTTTCCCTAGAGACTGGACTATTTGAACAAGCAATTATCCACATAAATTAATCAATCACATAATTATTATGTACTTTAATTAATTAAAATTGAGATATTAATAAAATTAATTTATCAAGAACATTTATGTTCTTTTATAATTATTAATATTAATAACACGGATATTTTCTTATAAGAAGTGAAGATTATTTTTAAGAAATTTCATCAACTTCTTAAAACACAGTTTCCTAGTAATATCAAGGTATTGCAGAATGATCATGGCAAGGACTATTCAAGTCTTATTTCCTATCTTGAGCATTATGGTATTTTTATAAGATATTCATGTCCATAGATACATCAACAGAATGGAGCAGTAGATAGAAAGCATAGAAACATAGTTGAAGTAGGACTAACTCTTTTTGCACAGCCTGCTACGCCACTTTCTTATTGGTGGCATGCTTTTCATACGACAGCCTATCTCATAAATAGGTTACTTGCTAAACTTCTTGATTACAAATGAATTTCAAATTTATATTTTTCTAATTAAAATCTTATTAATCAAGTAAAAATTCTTATTTGGTTTTAGGGGCTACTTTGCAATTTTAGGGGTCTTTTTGCAATATTTCAAAACTTTAGGGACTAATAGGGTATTTTCAAAATAAATTAAATTTTAGAGACTAATTTATAAATTTTTAGGGATATTTTTATAATATACTAAAATTTAAGGACTAATTATAATTTTTTAAAAATACTTTTATTGCTGAAGCTATAGATCCAATCAATCGGTCCAACCGGTTTGACCGATCGACCTGTGACTCGATCATCTTGCCAGGTCTCACAGCGTGTCAGGTTTTAAAACAATGGTTAGAATGTCAACTGATGATAATAATTTATATTTTTTTCAAGTTCTTTATGCGTGTTTTTTTTTTATTTTTTTTTTTTTATTTTTGTGTGTGTGTGTGTGTAAGAATATATTAATTACAAATGAATTTCAAATTTATATTTTTCTAATAAAAAACTTATTAATCAAGTAAGCATTCTTATTTGGCTTTTATATTACAAACTTTAATTGATGAAATAGTTTTTTTTTTATCTAGACGTCTTAAATAATCATTTTCCTTAGAGACTGGACTAGTTCAACAAGTAATTACCCATATAAATTAATCAATCACATAACTATTATGTATTTCAATTAATAAAATTGATATATTAATAACATTAATTTATCTAGAACATTTATGTTCTTTTATTATTATTATTATATTAATAGCATGGATATCTTCTTATCAGAAGACTGTTTTTGAGAAATTACGTCAACTTGTTAAAACACAGTTTGATAGTAATATCGAGGCATTACAGACAGATCATGGCAGCAAGTATTCAAGTCTTGTTTCTTATCTTGAGCATTAGGGAAGTGCTATAAAATATTCATGTTCATACATACATCAGCAGAATAGGGCAATAGAGAGAAAGCATAGAAACATAGTTGAAGTAGGACTAACCCTTCTCGCACAAGCTGCTATGCCATTTTCTTATTGGTGGAAAGCTTTTCTTTGCAATTTGTGTGAAGTAGTCATTTAGCTGAGTCGGCACTACAGCTGTACAAAGCTAACTACGTATATAAACTCGGCTGATGTGCAATTTCAAGTAATGAAAACCGAGTTCAATAATTTTCTTTTCCTCTCAACTCCACTAAAAACATCACTTCGACACAACGTACATATCAAACATATATGTTTATAAGAGTATAAGAACATGATTCATAAAGTCACGCTTTTTTATTCACTAAATATGGTCAGTAGGCTAGATGTACTGTTTACAATTTATATCAAATTTCTATTATTGAGTTGTTTGCAGTGGCTTATGGCTCATCCCAAATTCCTCAAGAATCAACTCTACATTGTTGGAGATTCTTACTCGGGCATAATTGTTCCAATCATTGTTCAGGAAATATCTGAAGGTAACTTATGCATTTTTTTCCCCTAATTGGTTTCAGCTTTTATTCTCAGCAAAGTGTCTATCTGTCTCTCTTATTTTATTTTATTTTTTCCTTCTTTTTATAGGTCTTGATGCCGGGATCGAACCAATATTGAATCTCAAAGTATATCGAAAATCAATTAAATAAATTAACTTCATTTACATGTAACTAATATCAGTGCCTGGATTCCTTCAGTCTTATCTACTAACAAGTACTATCACTCACAGGGATATGTACTTGGCAACCCAGATACAGATGAAAACAAAGACATAAATTCAAGAATTCAGTTCTCTTATCTAAAGGCACTAATCACCCATGAAATCTACGAGGTGAATTCTCCAAACATATATGTTTCTTTTTACATTAACACATTATTAATTATTTTGTATTAGTTTTATTGTCATAAATACAACCTGTTATTTGGCAATGCTTTTCTTTTTTCATTTTCAGTCAGCCAAAATAAATTGTAAGGGCGAGTACGTTAATGTAGATCCAAGCAATGGTTTATGTAAAGCTGATCTTCAAAATGTCACAACTGTGAGTAGAGCAACACTTTTATTATTATCTTTTAATAAACTCGTATAATTAATTAGCAAGACTGAACGTACCGATTGAATTTGCAGTGCACTCAAAATTTATATTCGGCCAACATATTGGAACCTGATTGTAGTATTTATGCATCACCAAAACCAAAGCTATTGAATTGCCATCGCTCCATCTTCATGGAACAAGATTTTTCTGATTTTCTCCTTTCGCCAACTCGACCTCCAACTCCCTGGTGTCGGGTAATTGAATTATTTATGACTTACTACAATTTGAACTACAAAAGCTAGACACAAAAATTGCGGGTTATCTTGTACTTTCATCCTTAAGGTTTAGAATATATTTTTTAACCTCCAGTATTATGGGATATGAACAATTTAGTCCAATCAGGTGAGACTTTTTACTTTTAGTAAAAAGTCTCACCTGATTGGACTAAATTGTTCATATCTCATAACATTAGAGGTCAATGTTAATGCTTCAAACCTTAAGGATGAAAGTGTAAGTACCCCCCAAAAATGCACATAATTTTATGCTTTTTTTATGGTTATAGGTTTATAACTACTATTACTCATACGAATGGGCAAATGATAAAACTGTTCAGAGAGCTCTAGGAGTTCGAGAGGTATGTCGTCTCTGAGATGAGTAGCATCCAAGATTTTTAAAATAATTTTGCTAATGAAATAAATTAATAAAAAATGATGAGCAGGGAACAATAAAGGATTGGGCAAGATGCAATAAAAGTTTATCTTACATAGAAGATATAAAAAGTAGTCTTAATTATCATCGAAACCTAACCAAGAGAGGTTATCGAGTTCTAATTTACAGGTAATTGGATAAATTTTCTACCTTTTTTTATGTTTTGTTGTATTCGTGAACATATATAAATGAAGAAATATCAAACAATTGCAGAAATATAAGGATTTATATAAATATAGAAATAGATATCAGTATATTTTAATAAAAACTTCATAATTTATAAGTTGTAAATTCTTATTTTAGGAGTTTATGTTATACAATGTTTAGGTTTTCACATTACAAGTTATACGAGTCTTTTTATGAGATTAACGTTTCTCCCTTATTATGTTTAGCCTTTCATGTTTTGTTATCAGTAGAGCTAAAACTTTCTTATATATCTTGACACGCAGCGGGGATGTTGACATGGTAATTCCATACGTGGGAACAGAAACATGGATCAAATCACTAAATTTGACAATTGACAGCGGTTGGCAACCATGGTCTGTTGAAGGTCAAGTTGCAGGGTTGGTTAACTAATAATTTTCATATAAGAATTTATCATTAATTAATCAGCTTTAGACATACACTTAATGAATTTATGTTATGGTTCCTTTGTAGATACTGGATGCGCTACATAGAAAGCATTTATAGTTTGACATATGCCACAGTGAAGGCAAGAAATTTTTTTTCGAATATATTTTTCTGAATCAGTTAATTAATTGAGGAGATAATTAATTCTGTATTTTTTTCGTGTAGGGAGGGGGCCATACTGCTCCAGAGTATAAGCCTAAAGAATGTTTAGCCATGATCAGCAGGTGGTTAGCCTTATACCCTCTCTGAGCTATGTTTCATCCTATACATCAACATCAACGACTATATGGGGCATGTCATTAAGAGAATATTGTATTATTAGGAATATTATATTAATGAGAAGATAGATTACCTTGAAGATTATTAAGAATGTTATATTAAATGTGTTTGGTTAGATTGGAATAAATTGATAAATATAAATAATTAATATATTTGATTGGGAGGAATAAAAGAATTCCGAGATAAACTTTTTACTAAATTATCCTTTTTTTTTAGTATTTATTATTATTATTATTATTTGGATTAATTTTTAACCCCTTACAATTGAGAATTTAGCTAAAATACCTCACAATAAAAGTTTAAAATTTAACAAAATACCCCCAACCACCTACGATCATAGACGACGCCGATCCTCACCACACCAACCCTTACCTCATTTGGCCGCCGGCCGGTGACCCTTCGCCTTCCCCCATCACCAGCCGTCCTCTTCATCTACTCCACGCTGTAGTGACACTTCATCTCCCCCACTGCCGACGTCATTCGGCTTCCAATGGTGTTTCCTCCATTTTGTGGCACCGTTTGCCCTTCCCCAATGTAGATTAGCCACCATAACTTCATCTCCACCTTCCATTCAACTTCTTCACCAGATTTCGCTCACTTTCCAACAAAGTTTGGGCTCTCCAACTACCTATTTGGACTCCCCAGCACCTAATCTACCTCCCCTTATGTTTGATCGTCATTTCACCATTAGCGATGGTGGCCGACGGCTTGCTATGTGTTAGAATGTAGTACAAACTGGGTGTTGTTTGATAATTGTCAAACGTGTGAGGGCCTGTGTGAAATTATACAGAAACAATGTAGTTTTAACTACACCTGCTTCAGTTTAAACGTGATTGTAAACCTCAACTCACTCTTTCTCTTTCACTTATAAAAAGAGTAAACTGAGCTGAGAAACTGTTGCTGTTTACACTATTATTGAATCAACAAATCTTCTCTTCAATTTACCTAAATTTTCTTCGATTCTTATCAAGATTCACATGGTATCAGAGCCTTGACTAACGTCGATGGCTAAAAATCCTGATTTAAGCTCAAATCCTCTGCCTAACAGCCTTGAGGAAATGCTGAAGGAAGTGTTAAGTCGATCATCGTCTTCGGTTGCTTCAAGTCTACCAGTGATAAATCCAAAACTTACTCGAGATAATTACAGATTTTGGAGCTCGCAAGTTCTTTTTGCTGTAGGATCGCATGAGCTCGAGGACCACTTGCTCGGTAAAGTTCCATGTCCTTCTCCCTTAATTTTGTCTGATATGAATGTTGATAATGAGTTGAGTCAACTGAGTGGAGAACTTAGGGTTCAGATGATCAGTTAACTATGGGTTAAATAATTCAGTTTAAGTGACAAATTATCCGAGTTACATTATGTGGAAGAGAACCGATAAGTTTCTGGTTAGTTGGCTGTTAGCTTCAATATCAGAAAGTATGTTGGTACAGTGTCAATGTAGTTTTCGACTGATTTTGGAGAGTCCTAGAGCATGAATTTGTTACAGATTCAAGGCTAGGGCATACATCTTAAGAATCGTTACAGACAATCAAAAGAACAATTTGAGCATTTTTGAATATGTCAAAAAGATGAAAAAATTAGTGAAAGTTTATCAGCATCGGTATGATTATATCTGATGATGACTTGTTACAGTACGTTCTGGATGGATTAGGGCCTGAATATGATCCTGTGGTGGTAAATCTTACATCTAGGCTTGAATCGAAAATAGACTCAATAACGCTTCAGGAAGCACAATTTTTGCTTCAAAAATATGAAGTTAGGTTAGACAAGTTCAATTCAGTTGATCTATATAATGTTCAGCTCACATTGCAACTATAAATAATATTGGAGGTGGAAGTGGACACTCTGGACTGACCAGTGACAGAAATCATGGAGTTGCTACTGGGAACTCTAATTCTATTCCATCTCTAAACTCCTTAGGGAATCCTCACATCCAACAAACATATCCACTGCCATCAAACCACTTATCTACTAGCCATTTTCCCTATAACCACACTTCCAATTTTAATCCTAAAGGACTTGGTTTTGTTCAGTATGAAAGGCAAGGCCGTGTTTATAACAGAAATAGACTAATCTGCCAAGTCTGTAACAAAGCAGGTCACTCAGCTGCTCAGTGCTACCACAGATTCAACTCTGCGTATAATGGTATATGCACCAGAATTATCTATCTGACATCCACAGTTTCCTAATTCTCTCTCCTATCAACCACACAACACAAACAACAATCCAACACTGTCCAGTATCACCTATGAATCCAAACACTGTCCAGTACTCACCTACTTCAACCTTTGCTTCAAAGCAATTGTTTCCACTGATCATAATAGTATAGCCCTCATCCTGGTCACACTGTTTTTATACTGATACAGTGGTCACTCACAAGAACAAGTCCATGTATCGCACAATTCCCTCCAGCTTCTGTTTTTGGACCACCTAGCCAACAGTCTGCTAATCCAGGTCACAATCAAGCTTTTATGGCTGTTGTTTCTACTTTACCAGTCATAATTCTCAGCCTGTTATGCCACTCAATTCACTTCTACTGATCCCCCCTGGTACATGGATTCTGGAGCCACTGATCATGTAGCTTCAGATCTCAGTCAGCTACAACTTAGCAAGGAATATGGTGGTGTGAGTCAACTTCAAGTGGGAAATGGTGAGCACCTGAATATCACTCATACTGGTAACACATCTTTGCCTAGCTTGTTTCATTCTAATGCCTATACCTTAAAAATATCTTGTGTGTTCCTAAAATAACCAAAACCTGCTTATATTTCTAGGTCCCTAGGACAATATGTGATTATGAGTTTAATGCTGATTGTTGTGTGTGTCAAGGATCAGTTAACCAAAGCAACGTTACTGCAAGGGGATCTTAAAGGTGGACTGTATCAGCTGCATATTCCCCAGTCCATCTCCCATTCAAAATCTGCCTCCACTTTATCATCTGCTTTTCCTCATCCTGACTCAATAGTTTATAGTTTTCACTGTAAAAACATTGTCAATAATGGTTCACAGTTGGTAGTCAGGATAGTTGTAGTACTCAGACTGTTGTTAATTCTAGTCCAAATGTTACTCTTACCTCTTTTGATCATTCTAATAACATGTTTCCTGCACAAAGTACTATGTTACCTATAAATAAAAGGGACTATTCTGAAAGTTCTTGTGTTGTCTTACCTATATTCAACTTATACTTCTGGTGTGACTGATGTGATTACTGATATTTCTACTTCTAAGTCAACCAATATTGCTGAAACTGTTGTGCTGATTCTGCTCTCATTTTACTACCAACAAAAATATTCAGCATCATTTAACATGGCATAGAAGGTTAGGACATCCTCATTTTAGTGTTATGCATAAATTCTGTCTTCACTGCCCAAATACTGAATTTGCAAAAGTCAAATCTGATTATGATAGCAATTTTACTTCTTTTTGTGATGCATGTCAACTGGGAAAAATGCATAATATTAGTTTTCTACCTCACATACTAAAGCTTCAGCTCCCTTGGAAATTGTCCATAGTGATGTTTGGGGTCCTGCACCCTTAACATCGTCTGAAGGATTTAGGTATTATATCCAGTTTTTTAGATGATTAAGTAGATATACTTGGTTATTTCCACTTAGAACTAAAGCTGAGGTTAAGTCCATTTTTATTAAGTTTTATCATTTGGCTGAAAGACAGTTTAATACTAAGTTAAAATGCCTTCATTCTGATCAAGGTGGAGAATTTTGCACTTCATTCTTATCTTACAGAGTTGGAATTCATTTTAGACACTCGACTCTCATGTTCATCACAAAATGGCGTTGTGAAAGAAAACATCGACATATAGTTGAAACAGGACTTACATTACTTGCACATGCATCTATGCCTCTTCAATTTTGGTGGTTGTCTTTTGAAACTGCTGTTTTCTTGATTAATAGATTGCCTACTCCAGTTTTAGATATATATCTCCATACGAAAAATTGTTTAATAAAGCTCTGGTCTATGAAAACCTGAAGGTTTTGGTTTCTTGCTTTCCTTTTCTTAGAGTCTTTAATCGTCATAAGTTCAGTTTCACTCAACTAAGTGTGTCTTTGTAGGATATAGTCTTCCATAAAGGTTACAAATGTCTAAAACCGGATGGAAAAATCGTTATCACTCCTAGTGTCAATTTAATAAACAAGTTTCCTTTTAGATTAAATGTTACCTCAATTCTCAACAACACCCAATGATCCTACAACTCTTCTTGACAAATATCCTGCCTATATCTCTTTTCCATACGCTACTTGCTCCTAACAGTTTGGATACAAATGCACACTGAAGGATCCCTCTGCAGTAACTATTTCTGACAAACAGTTCAAAAATGGCACAACAAGGGACATTAATTCTGCAATCCACATAGGTCTGGCCCTCCACAAACTATTTCTCCCCACGAATACATTATCATCCTCCCAACACCTCAAACAGATCTCTCCAATGATGAATCAAACCATAATTTTACCAAATCTGCTTCCTCCCAATTACATCAGTCTCTACTCTCCCTACTGTACCATCCTTTTTTTCCTTTCCCATATGCTCACTTGAGGTTGACTCACAACTCCAAGGTTCCTGCAAAATTGCATACTGACAAGACTGTAGCTACAAACACACATCCCAGTTAACTCGATCCAAAACAGCGCTTCTGGTTACTGTGAAACCTTACCAACTACTGCAGTTTCAGGTTCTAGTTCTGAAAATTCGCAGCCTTAATACCACTACAGTCACTGATTTCTATGCTGCCTTGTCACAAATTCTAGCCATTGTTCTCAGTCTGATCACTCTGTAATTTCAAAAACTGCATGTCATTCTGAAGGTATTAGTTCAGCAACCAGTGTAGTAATACCTGAACCTCACACTGTCCTTGAAGCACTGAACAGTCCTGAGTGGAAACTGCAATGAAGAGTGAGTTTGATGCCCTGTTTAAAAATGAAACCTGGACTTTAGTTCCTGCTCCTTCAGATAAAAATGTTGTAGGAAACAATGGGTATTTCGAACACAGTTTATTCTGAGGGTCTCCTCCAAAAATACAAAGCTCAACTTGTTCCAAGGGTTTTCAACAAACTCTTGGGCTGATTATTTTGAAACCTTTAGTCCAGTAG